CATATCTATGCATTTCCAATACTTCGATTCCTTGTACATTTTTTCCTCTCTATATGTATAACTATTATAAACTAGTAAAAGCTTATTTTTATTAGATTTAATGAATTCCATAACTTAAAAAATCAAATTTAAAAAATACAGTTCATATAAGAAATATGATAATAAGCACAACACTTTGCAAACGATTGTCACGTTGTCGAACGTCGTACACAACTATTTGATGTCCATATAGTATTAAGTATAGGTTACATTATGTACACTATTCACGACAAAACGACAAAAGCGATAATGGATATTACCTTGAGTCACAATAATAATGACAGACTAATAAAGATTACATTATTCCCTAATCTCTGTTTAATATTTACTATAAAAACAAGAGTTTTCCCCTAAACATTCGATATATTATTTTTCGCTATAATTAAGTTTCGTTATTTTTAATTCGCTATTCTTCTATTCGCAATTTTTTTTCGCTMTTTTGGCCGGTTACCCGAACAACGTATGCGAGGGATGGAACAATAGATTTTTTTTCAGATTCAGTCATTTGGTTGGGCATACAAAATCATCAATTTGGAAATTATTAAGAAATATAAAAAACGAAATGGGGGCCGATAAAGCTAAATTAACATTAAGTGAAATTGGGTAATTGACTTACAAACGACCAAAAAAAGGGCATGTAATCAGCGCCGCAACTACACCATTTTGGTTAGTAAATAAATGAATTTGCCCTCACCCCTCTTGAAAATTGAAAAATTAACCTATTGACTATTATAAAATTAATTTTTCCAAATTTGAAAACATACTTTGGAATTTTGAGTTATTACTCAATACTTAATACTCCTACGCATGACGCGCTTTAATCAATTGCAACCAAACTACCAAACTATTTTTAATTTCGGTTATTCAGGCTGCAYAAGAAACGTTAATGTACGAWAATGTTGTGTACAAAACAAAACCGATCTATTGCTCAATCTGTATTAATAATAATTATTATAACAAAATTATTTTATTTTATTTCTTTCTACATATTTTTTAATTTTTATCATTGAGCCCCCATTATGGGTTGGGGCCCTGGGACCATTGGCGAATGCAGAGGGGAGAGGTTTAAACACCCCCCGAAATAGTAGGTACAAAAAATAAATCATCTGACCAACAAATGTATTAGTATATTACTAATAACATTTCAAAAAAATTAAAATAAA